CGGGGCCGGGGCCGCGTGAGGGACGCTGCGGGTGACGAGAGGGTGACGCTGTGAGTACAAGAGGGAGCTCGAGCGTGAGGTCGGGAGACCCCGAGTGTGTGGGAAGGACTCGGGGTGTGTGTGAGAGAGCCCCTGAGTCTGATGATGACTTTGTGAGTGTGAGAGGCGCGGCGAGGGTGACGCAGTGAGTGTGAGGGAGACCGTGTGTGTGAGAGAGAAAGAGACAGAGACAGAGGGAAACCCTGGCTGTGAGGGTGCCTCTGTGCGTGCGAGACCCTGCGCGTGAGGCTGAGACAGAGCGTGTGAGACCCTGCGTTTGAGGCCGAGACAGAGCGTGCGAGACCCTGCGCGTGAGGCCGAGACTGAGCGTGCGAGACCCTGCGCGTGAGGCTGAGACTGCGCGTGTGAGACCCTGCGCGTGAGGCCGTGACTGAGCGTGAGAGACCCTGCGCGTGAGGCCGTGACTGAGCGTGAGAGACCCTGCGCGTGAGGCCGTGACTGAGCGTGTGAGACCCTGCGCGTGAGGCCGTGACTGAGCGTGCGAGACCCTGCGCGTGAGGCCGTGACTGAGCGTGAGAGACCCTGCGCCTGAGGCCGTGACTGAGCATGTGAGACCCTGCGCGTGAGGCCGTGACTGAGCGTGAGAGACCCTGCGCGTGAGGCTGAGACTGAGCGTGTGAGACCCTGCGCGTGAGGCTGAGACTGAGCGTGAGAGACCCTGCGCGTGAGGCTGAGACTGAGCGTGTGAGACCCTGCGCGTGAGGCTGAGACAGAGCGTGTGAGACCCTGCGCGTGAGGCCGTGACTGAGCGTGAGAGACCCTGCGTGTGAGGCTGAGACTGCGCGTGTGAGACCCTGCGCGTGAGGCCGAGACAGAGCGTGCGAGACCCTGCGCGTGAGGCTGAGACAGAGCGTGTGAGACCCTGCGTTTGAGGCCGAGACAGAGCGTGCGAGACCCTGCGCGTGAGGCTGAGACAGAGCGTGTGAGACCCTGCGTTTGAGGCCGAGACAGAGCGTGCGAGACCCTGCGCGTGAGGCTGAGACAGAGCGTGTGAGACCCTGCGTTTGAGGCCGAGACAGAGCGTGCGAGACCCTGCGCGTGAGGCTGAGACAGAGCGTGTGAGACCCTGCGTTTGAGGCCGAGACAGAGCGTGCGAGACCCTGCGCGTGAGGCTGAGACAGAGCGTGTGAGACCCTGCGTTTGAGGCCGAGACAGAGCGTGCGAGACCCTGCGCGTGAGGCTGAGACTGAGCGTGTGAGACCCTGCGCGTGAGGCTGAGACAGAGCGTGTGAGACCCTGCGTTTGAGGCCGAGACAGAGCGTGCGAGACCCTGCGCGTGAGGCTGAGACAGAGCGTGTGAGACCCTGCGTTTGAGGCCGAGACAGAGCGTGCGAGACCCTGCGCGTGAGGCTGAGACAGAGCGTGTGAGACCCTGCGTTTGAGGCCGAGACAGAGCGTGCGAGACCCTGCGCGTGAGGCCGTGACTGAGCGTGTTGAGGCTGAGACTGCGCGTGCGAGACCCTGCGCGTGAGGCTGAGACTGAGCGTGCGAGACCCTGCGTGTGAGGGTGCCTCTGTGCGTGCGAGACCCTGCGTGTGAGGCTGAGACTGCGCGTGTGAGACCCTGCGTGTGAGGCCGAGACTGCGCGTGCGAGACCCTGCGCGTGAGGCTGAGACTGAGCGTGCGAGACCCTGCGCGTGAGGCTGAGACTGAGCATGAGAGAGACGACCAAGAGTGTGAGGGAGAATGTGTGTTAGAGGGACTGTGAGCGAGAGTGGCCTTGAATGTGAGACTGCCAGTAGCAGAGCCTGTGAGAGATGCTCCTGGTCAGGGACTCGGATGGTAAGGAGAGCCTGCCATGTGATGAGCGTGAGAAAGCAGAAGCAGAGAACCACGATGTGGGACTGGGGCTGGGAAGGCGGGAAAGGAGCTCCTGGGGCTGCTACAGGATGTTGTCTAGTGGCAGGACTGGTGGAGCTGGGTGTTGGAGCAGGGAAGAGGTGTGCTGCTGGTTATTATGGCTCTTTTGAGGGTCTTCATATCCTAACATCTGGTTTGGTCATCTCATGCCATACATGTCAGGAGATAGTTGTGAACCTTCCTGGAAATTCTTCACTGAGCACTAAGCAGATAGTTTGATCACTATGTTGTGCAATGGTCAGAATAAATAAGAATCAGCATTTAATTGGGCAGATGCTTTTGAGTACCTCTTGTACTCAAAAGTGCCCTGGGCTATGTGCTTGGTGACACAGTTAAAAAGAATTCACTCTCTTCCTTTGATGGAGGAAATGTCCGGGACCAGCTAATCTGGCACCGCCCTAGCAGAATGCTTAGCCCTCTGGGGCCTTATCTCTGAGAGCTGAGAGATTTGAAAATCTAGGAGGAGCAGACTTGAAAGCCTGTGACTACTTCCTGAGATCTCTTTCACCTCCTTTTGCATGCTGTGAGGCCCTTTAGGAAACTGCCCAGGCTGCCTACATTACTAAGGTCTCACTGTGGTTGTGCACTGATGGCTTTTGCTTCCCAGCTTTGCTCCCAGACCTCATCAAGTTGTTAAATTTGATTTGCCTTTCCTGGCAAATATGTGGAAAACCACAAGCCTGATTTTCTCCTATCTTCCTCGCCTCTTCCTCCTTCCCTGCCTGGCTATGGACATGTTTTCATTACAGACCAAAAGTGTATACCAGTTATGTGACTGATCTCCCTGGAACTTCTTGGTAGAGGAAATTTCGTGACCTCTGTGCTTCCTGATGTAGTCTCTAGGATGTGGATACGTTTCTACAAAAGTTATGAAAACAGTGCTCATGGGACCTGGGACTCTGGACCAGCAGCTGTCTAGACGTGCATGACTTGAGATGACAAGGCTAATTCTCTGACAAATTTGGCCTGGTTGCTTCAGTTATACACCCCTCCCTACCCTGCCCCCTGCCCCATGGGTGTGATGGAACTTCTCAATAATTGACAGATGCCCCTGGCAGACATGTAAAATTAAGATTTTACAAAGAGAATTAGCGGCCTGCTGCTTACTGGATTCATTTTATTTTTTAATTTATTTTTATTTTTGGGGTGACTGGCTGGTATAGGGATTGAACCCTGGGCCTTGGTGTTATAAGCACCACTAAGTTCATTTTTGGTAAGTTATCTCTTACTCTTTGTTGCAGAGATTAAATGGCCACAGCAGACAAGTGGAATTAGGCTTTGCTGTGGAGACTTCATTTTTTTTCTCAGTACCTGACCCGATTATGATGAGGTGGCTTATGAAAGTATGATGTTCGCTTATTTCTTGACAGGTGAATATTGTTCTTCTGTTCTCTATTAGCTTTCTTTTACCTTTGTGATTTATAGTTTTAGTTATTTGTGTACAATACGAATACCATACTAGCAAAGAGAATGGCTTTAGTCTTTTTTCAGTATTACATGTTATGTAATGTTGTAATTTATTATATAAATACATTATATACTTATTTATATCTTCTAAAGAGTAGTTGTGGTCTATAATTAAAAATAATTGCAAAGAAAAGCAAAAATAAAAAATTTTTAATTTGAAAAAAAAGAAATAGAAACCAAAGTTATGGAAAAAACTAGTTAGCAAATACAATTGAAGTAAGAGTGTCTTATCTACTATGATTCGAGCTGAATTTGGTCTTGAGTTTCCTTTACGCAAAAAGACAAGCAAAAAGGGTCACATAATTTGCATTATTGGATACAAAGGAGTAGAATAAATGTATTTTTTAAGTTTAAGCCTTTAAAAAAACTAATTTAAGGCCGGCCTGTGGCTAACTTGGGAGAGTGTGGTGCTGATAACACCAAGTCAAGGGTTATGATCCCCTTACCAGTCATCTTTAAAAAAAATAAATAAATAAATAAAAATAAAAAATAAAAAAACTAATGTATACTCATTATGGAAAATATATAAAACTCAGAGAAGTATTAAAAAGAATAAGTCGTCTGTGTTTTCATTACAGTGAAGATTTTGATGTACTTCACAATAGTATTTTTTTTTCTAGTCATCAATTATAAAAGAGTTTCTAAATCTAGTTTGTAAAACTTGCTTTGTGATTGAACTTTGACAGATCCATTTTCTCTAAAATTGCATGGTTAAATTTTCTTTTTTTGTTCTTTGTTTTTTAAATCTTATTTCATGGTTAAATTTTCATTAGGAAATTTTAGTGGTCTGGTAAATTCCTTTATTATCTGCAGCAGGAACCTGGAAAATAGGATGAAAACCCATTAGAAAGCTGCATTGTGTCTTTACAAGCAGGGTTTAACACTAGTTTTTCAAGTCAGGACCTCATAGGATACATTGCATGATTTAATGTATATTGTTTTCATCAGTGATTTTAGAGATTTCACTGTGTTATTGGAAAATGTATGATTTTCACATACCAATTTCTTTTATCAATTGGATAAAGTTGAAAGCAAAAAGATAGTTTCTCAGACTACTAGGCTACCTTGCTTGGGTAATGACTTAATGGGCCCCTTGAATCAGAAATTTTCATCCCCATTGTTGCAGAGGGTCTACAGATCTACTCTGGGGACAGAATAGACAGTGCGTATCACACGGGTATGGACTGCTTTTTTTGGAATGTATGTAGATACCATTGTGACTAATTGAATGCAAATTAATTCAAAACCATTACTCTAGTGATCATAGCTTTTTGTCATTACTATTTTTTTCTCTATCGACTGTTAACTGAAGAACAAGTACTGTGACAGAAAATGTCTGATGTTAGTACAGCTACACCTGCTTTCTTTTGGTTGTTTACGTGGTTTAGCTTTTTCTGTCCTTTTACCATAACTTATTTATGTCTTTATATTTAAAGTGGATCACTTGTGGACTGCATAGTGGGTTTTGCTTTTTTTTTTTTTTAACTAATTTGACAGTATCTGTCTTCTAATTGGTGTGTTTAGATTATTTATGTTTAATGTAAACAATTTGAGGGCCGGCCCAGTGGCTCGCACGGGAGAGTGCGGTGCTGATAACACCAAGGCCCTGGGTTCGGATCCCATATAGGGATGGCCGGTTCGCTCACTGGCTGGGCGTGGTTCTGACAACACCAAGTCAAGGGTTAGGATCCCCTTACCGGTCATCTTTAAAAAAATAAAAAAATAAATAATAAAAAAAAAATAATGTAAACAATTTGCCATCTTGTTAGTTTTTTCCTATTTGTTCCATATGTTCTTTTGTTCTTTGTTCCTTTTTCCTTTGCGTTTTTTTTTTTTTGGCAGCTAGTCTTTAAGGGGATCTGAACCCTTGACCTTGGTGTTAGGAGAAGCATGTTCTAACCAGCCAGCCTCCCTTTTTTCTTTTTTTTTCGGCATACTTTTGGATTGAGTAATTTTTATGATTCTGTTTTTCTCCACTGATGGCTTATTTAAAACTTTTCTTTTATGTATGTCTTTTTTTTTTTTTTTTGGTGGCTGGAGGGTAGGAGGATCCAAACCTTTGACCTTGGTGCTATAACGCTGTGCTCTAACCACCTGAGCTAACTAGCCAGCCCAACATCTTCTTCGAATTTTTTTGGTGGTTTCCCTAGTTTTACAATGTAAATCTTTAATTAATCACAGTCCACCTTTAAATAATATTATGTCTTTTCACATGTAATATAAGAACCTTACAGTATATTCCCAGTTCTTCCTTCCTATCCTTTGTGCTATCGCAGTCAGATATTTTACTTTTACATATGTCGAAACCCATAATACAGTGCTTACTATTTTTGCTTTAGGCAGTCAATTATATTTTAAAGCAATTAAAAATAAGCAATGTCTGTCCCATCAGCTGGGTCCTAAAAATAAAAAGCAAAAATGTATTTTTTTTTTGTCTTTTGTCTTTTTCCGTGTCCGGCAACGGATCGCAACCCTCAGTGTTGCCCCCGTACCGGACCGGGGACCGGCAACGGGATCGCAACCCTCGGTGTTGCTCCCGCGCCTCGCTCAGCCAGTGGGCGGGAACCTGTCTGCATGTGGGATCCGACCCCTCGGGCGGGAGCGCCGCCGCGCTTCCCAAGCGGCGCACTATCCAGTGCGCCACCGGGCCGGCCCCAAAAATGTATTTTTTAATTATTTACTTCAGACCATTTGATATTGCCCCACAGCTCTTAGATGCTCTGTTCCATTTTTTTCACTTTTTTCCATTTAGACTCTCATGGTTTTCATATCTCTGCTGAAATTCCACATTTGTTCCTGCATGCCATCTAACTTTTTCATTAGAGCCTTTAATGTATTAATCATAGTTATTTTAAATTCTGTTTGATGTTTCTAATATCCGGGTCACCTCTAAGCACTCTTAGAGGTGACCCACCAATAGGTGGTCCTATTGATTACTTTGCCTTTTGATAGTGGGTTGTTTTTCTTGCTTTTCTGTGATGCTTGTAATTTGTTATTGGTAGCCAGACATTGTATATAGAACAATAGAGACTGACGTATATAATATTTATTCTGGGAAATGGGTACGCCTCTTTTGCTAGGCTGTTACTTTGGGAATTTGAGTCAATTGGTCAGGAGACGTTGTGTTTGGGTTTTGTTGTTGCTGTGGTTACCATAGGTACACTCATGGCTTCAAATTCCTCTGATGTTTCCTTGCACTGACGGTTGGTTTGCTGGAGGGAGGCTTCTTTTCACTGTTATGCTTTACCCTCAGCTTTCAGTCTTCTTTGCACACCTGTGCCTCGGTGCAGTCTACCCCAGCCTCAGTGGTAGACTACCTTTGCTTGTTCCTGGGTACTTGCAAACCCACTGGGAGGGAGCAGGGTGGTTCTCTGTTGTCCTGGTTCAGCCTTAGTCTTAGGCAGGCTCTGTTTGTCTGAATCTTGTGGGTAGGTCTTTCTGAGTGATGGTGTCCCAGAGGTAGGATACCTCTAATGGTCTTGACCAGAATTTCCTGCCCCGCCCCAGGCATAGAGTTTTTTTTTTTTCTTTCACCATGCTCCAGCTGATGTGGGAGTAATAATTTGCTGACCTTTCCTGAGGGGTTTCCAATTTTTATTCTTTGGAGAAGAGTCCAGGTGGGTATTTTTCTTTCTCCAGGCCAGCACTACTGAGAGAGCCTTTCTCTGGTCTCCTGCCCAGTATTTCTTGTGAGCACCCACTGAGGTCTGTGGAGAAAAAGCCCTGAGTGTGTGTGTCTCTTGCTAACTCACACTTAACCTTTAATAATCTGCTAAATTTTGTACTTGAGTGCTTCTTAGCTGCCTGTACAGTGATCCCATCTTTCTCTCACTGCCACAGATGAGCCAAAGCTTGTATTGCTCTCTCCTTGGTGGTGCCTGTCTTTCCTTCAAATTCAGTCTAGTTGGTTGCCCTGTAGCATCAGCTTTCTGATACCTTCAAGAAAAATTATGATTTTATAGGTTATCCAGCTTTTTCTTGTCTTTGAAGTAGAGTGATGCCTTTCCAAGCTTTTCTACATCCTAATTACAAGCTAGAAGTTGAGGACTTTGCATTTTATACTAGATTTTATCTTCCAGTGAAATGAACTTACCTCTCTTCTTTCCTCCTTCTCTTCCTTGCTTCCAGGATTTGTCTTTTAGCAATGTTAACCCTGCTGAAGAAGGCCTCACATTTTTTTTTTTTTTTAAAAGATGACCGGTAAGGGGATCTCAACCCTTGACTTGGTGTTGTCAGCACCACGCTCAGCCAGTGAGCGAACCGGCCATCCCCATATGGGATCCGAACCCGGGGCCTTGGTGTTATCAGCACCGCACTCTACTGAGTGAGCCACGGGCCGGCCCCAGGCCTCACATTTTATAGAAGAGCTTCATATTGTCTAGTTTGATGCTCACAAAAGATTAATGAGGCTATTTGGGAAAGTAATTTTTAGCTTACTCTTACCACTGGAAGAGACAAAGGTCAGAGAAGGATGAGAGGTACAGCTAGCTGGTGAGCTGTAGTCTCTGACTGTGGGACTTCTGATCTCATGTCTATCTCATTTCTTTCTTTCTTTTTTTTTTAAAAGATGACCGGTAAGGGGATCTTAACCCTTGACTTGGTGTTGTCAGCACCATGCTCAGCCAGTGAGCGAACCGGCCATCCCTATGTGGGATCCGAACCCGGGGCCTTGGTGTTATCAGCACCGCACTCTCCCGAGTGAGCCACGGGCCGGCCCATGTCTATCTCATTTCTTTGCTGCCATACTGACTGGTTGTGTGTTCTGTGAAGGCATGGTCCATTCCAATCTTGTTCACTTCTGTGTCCCCAGCACAGAGCCTCGCATAATGTAGGTGCTTGGCAGATTTTGTAGAGGCATGTGAGGTGAAGTTTAGATGTAAACTCTGGGAAATGAGGGATGGCCTTGGGATTGTATGGCCAAGCCAGCCTGGGACTCAGCCATCTGCCTTCAGGGAGCTGCTGTGGTTACATCAGAACTTTGTTCTTGGGTGTTTAGCAATGAGGTAGGGACTTTAATTACTTTGGCAGAGAATAGGCTTCTGATGACTATTGCATTGTTATTGAATTAAGAGAAAGAAACCTCCTGTGCCCTCAGTTGTATGTGACTCTGCTTCTCTCCTTGGCTGAAGGAAGAATCATTCTTAACATTCCAGCAGGAACCTTATCTCTCATTCAGGTGCTGGGACTGAGATCCTAGGCAGGAGGTCTTGTGGGCCTGTGACTGTACCCCACCCCTCCAAATAAGGCCACTGGGTACGTTTTACTAGTGTATCAGACAGACTTGATAAAGGCACATCAGAGACACAAGTGCCAGGTTGTACAAGTACAAAAGGAATACCTGGTAACCCTCCAGCCCTCCCCACCAGCCCCAAGTCACAGTCTGATGGAATAGGGGAAGGTGGAGTGGTTCCTGGGGGTTTCTCTGCTTGTCTCTGTGTTGAGTTGAATAGAAAAGAAAAGGCAACTTAGGACTTTTATGTGAGAATATAGAGTCCCCAGCTGGGCTTTTTTTTGTTTTGTTTTGTTGGCTGGCTGGTACGAAGATCCAAAACCTTTACCTTGGTGTTATCAGCACTGCGCTCTAACGGAGTAAGCTAACTGGCCAGCCTATGTACTGGTTTTGTGTCCATGGTTGCCTGGGCTCACCTGACAGACATGTGAAAACAAATATGTTCCCACGTGTCTGCATAGGGAAACCTGTCTGGCTTGGTGCTAGGAGTGAAAGGAAAAGCGGTTCCACTTTAAATTTCATCCTCATCTAAAGCAGAGGTAGGCTGGCTCAACTCCTCTGGGACTGGGAAAGGCTTATTAGTACCCCAGAGGAGCATTTTCACTTCTGCTCAGGTCCAGAGTCTGGAAGGGGATTGGGACAAGTAAGGCAGGAGTTTTGGGTGGGGCCAGTGGAGATTGGAGTTTTCCCTGAGAACCATTCACTTAAGTGGCTGTGGTTTAGATGTAGAGGGGAGGTGCTCTGAGCTCCATGTGGCTAGGTTCTGACACATACATCTTTGTTGAGTAGATGAGAGTCTTCTGGAAACTGAATCCCATTGTTATCCCTGGAAGTTATCCCTATGAACTTAAGGGACCAATTCCTGGGTGAGAATTAAATGGCCCACCAAATTCCTTTCTCCAGAAAATGAGGTGGGGTTGGGGGATCTGAAGCATGACTAGTACAGGAATTGAGGGAGAGAGAAGGCCACGCTGGATATAGGGTCAGGAAGGTGCTCATCTTCCTCTGACAGATTCTGGGTCCTTCATAGGTAAGTTAATGTGGAATCCAACTTCCTTGAGGTTTCTGGATTGGCCCTACTCTAATCCAGTGGTGGTGGGGATGTGTGTGTGTGCCATCTCTCTACAGGATGCCTTCTAATGCCAGATCTGTGGATTACAGAAGGCTTATAGCTTTGGTTAGGTGGCAAGGAGAATCTTTGCAACCCCAGGTGGTAGTGAGTGGCATGCTAAGGAGGAAATCAAATAAGCCAATTGCAAATTAGCCCCAGTTTAGGGTGTCCCCTGGATGTCCTTTCCCCATCTTGTCTATGTAATCTCTCTCTTCTGGCTACTTTGGGAAAAGAAAGGTATTGAATGGGCAAGCAGCAATGCGGGGAGTAAGGTGGATGTGTGGACACAACGACATATGGGTGTATATTTTCATGAGGGTTCTCTCCTTGGTCCAGTCTCTGCAATAGCAGTATGCTCTTACCATAGCATCTTCCTAGTACTTCCCACCACCTGCTCATGTTCTTTGCTGGCCTGAGAGTAGCTGCAAACCTCTCCACATGTGGTTAGACACTGCGGAAGTCCCTGTTTCTGTTTGGGTAGAGTTGAGTGGGCAGGATTACCTGGGTATAGACAGTGAGAGGCCTGTTAGGCTGGTGAGGATGTGTACCTGGTGCAGGGACTCTGGTCTTCTCCACAGGACTGGTTTGTGGGTTTTAAGCTGATAAGAACAGAGCAAAACTTCACCTCAGGGAGAATCTATGCTATGGGCAAACCTAATACCAGCCTTCCCTGAGCAGCAAGACAGGTGACTCTCAGTGGAAGTCGCCATCAGATTGTGCCTGAGCTCTCATGGTGTCTTTCTTGGGAGCAAAGGAGGTCTGCCTACCTCCATTTCCCTGTGTCTTGTGGAAACTGAGATAGGCCTGTTTAGGGCTGTGTGCATGGCATGCTGTCCCCAAGCAAGAGGTGGGTAGAAAATCTGCCTGCCTTGCAGGTCTAAACCACAGCCTTACCAGCTCCTGCCCTAGACTGACGTACTTGTGTTCTTTGCCAGGCCACAGTAAACACAGGTGTGCAGAAACCGTTTGGCATGGAAGCCAGGGAGCTTGGGAGCTCCACACCCACCTACCATCTCATTCCTGAGGCCAGCCAGCCCAGTGTGGAAGAAGATGTCAGTTTGCCACCCCAAAAGTCCCCAGAAACTATGCAGCTGAAGAAGGAGATCTCCCTGCTGAATGGGGTCAGCCTGGTGGTGGGCAACATGATCGGCTCAGGGATCTTTGTCTCACCCAAGGGTGTACTGGTGTACACTGCCTCCTATGGATTGTCGCTGGTTGTGTGGGCCATTGGTGGGCTCTTCTCTGTTGTGGGTGCCCTTTGCTATGCAGAGCTGGGGACCACCATCACCAAGTCGGGGGCCAGCTATGCTTACATTCTAGAGGCCTTTGGGGGCTTCATTGCCTTCATCCGCCTGTGGGCCTCACTGTTAATCGTTGAGCCCACCAGTCAGGCCATCATCGCCATCACCTTCGCCAATTACATCATCCAGCCCTCCTTCCCCACCTGTGATCCCCCGTACCTGGCCTGCCGTCTCCTTGCTGCTGCTTGCATATGTAAGTCTGGGGGCTGAGTGTGGGAAGAGGTGTGGGGTATGGGGTACTGTTATTGGTAGCTTATATTTGAACAGCATATTTTGCTCTTTTGGGAGGAGGGAGGGATCTTACCTTCTGAAGAACTAATTTTACCAAAATCATTTGATCCTGACTGATAAATAAGCATAGAGGATGGGGATGGGAGAAGTTTGAATCTGTGGCTTTTGCTGCCTCATTCCTCCTACTCTTGGATGCCCCTGAGTTCTGTTCCCTAATCTATGTGACACATTGGTGCATGTCTTATATTTTCTTTCTTTTTTTTTTTCTCGTCTTATATTTTCTTGTCAGGTGTTTTTTTTTTTTTTTTCCTTTTTTGTCTTTTTTCGTGACCGGCAACGGATCGCAACCCTCAGTGTCGCGCCCGGACCGGACCGGGACCGGCAACGGGATCGCAACCCTCGGTGTTGCTCCCACACCTTGCTCAGCCAGTGAGCGGGAACCGGTCTGTATGTGGGATCCAAACCCTGGGCGGGAGCGCTGCCACGCTTCCCAAGCGGTGCACTGTAGGAGTGCGCCACCGGGCCGGCCCCCTTGTCAGGTGTTTTGATTGGAGTGAGCACCATTAGTTCTAACTTAACCCAGAAAAAACCATCAGTGTTGAGGACTTTATTCTGCTGCTCAAAAAAAAAAAAAAGTTATTTTACTTCCTAGTGTTTTAATTTAAACCAATTTAAAGGCATCAATAAGGAAATAGACTTCTCTGGACTGTGGGGGTCTCAAGATGTTATCCCAAACAGAAGAAAAAAAAAAAGAGTAAAAAATCAAGATGTTATCCCTCAGGCCATAGGACCCCCTCCTTCTTGCCACTGCCATTCTTTGCAGCCACTCTTTGCAGCTCGTTCTAAGCAGCAGGCACCATACCAAAATGGCTTTTTACCATTAGTGTTTCAGATTTCTTCACACTCACTTTGTAAACAAGCTCTGTCTGCAGCCAGTGAGAGGGAGGTGGCTTCTACCCCACATTTGGGTTTGTGAGGACAGAATTTAAGGGATCCCAGCAGATCCCCTTTAATTTTTCTCCTATTAGGTAGTAAGGAGGGATTCTGTGTGAAATCACTGAAAAGGAGAGAAGATTGCTGTGAATTTACCCAGCCTTGCAGAGGTAATGTTTTAGCTGAAAAGTGGCTCAGAATTCTGTGTTCCTTAGCACTGGGCTGCCGGAGGCACTTAATTATATTCTGTTCTTTCCATATCTCTGCTTGCAAAAGCTTTGGCAGTATATACAGTTTACCATGTTAAAAATAGACTGAGAGTACTTTGGAGTTAGCAATAAAAATTGTACAATACACCATGCTTCCTGACTTGAAGGAATTAGTTAAAGGCAGGTATTAAAGAGAACCCCTCCACATCCCTTGAGACAGTGAGGTGGAAACAGATATTCCTGGGAGGAGGGAAGGTGGTACTTGGCTATATGTCTGATAGGCTTTGGCCGGGGAGACTCTGGCCTGACTGAACTCTCTAAAAGGTAATAATTTTCTGATTTTAAAATATATTCAGGGCCGGTCTGTGACTCACTCGGGAGAGTGCGGTGCTGATAACAGCAAGGCCATGGGTTCGGATCCTATATAGGGATGGCCGGTTCGCTCACTGGCTGAGTGTGGTGCTGACAACACCAAGCCAAGGGTTAAGATCCCCTTACTGGTCATCTTTAAAAAAAAAAAAAAAAAAAAGTATATATAGTCATTATGCAGAAAATTAAATTATCCTCAAATCACCCATAATCTACTACCAAAAGATGAGTACTTTTAATAGTTTGACAGTGTCTTCATTTTTTTCCTTTTACTGAATTAGCATCAAACTTTGCTTATAATTTTATTTCATTTTTTTATTTTTTGGGGCATTTGGCCTTGACCTTGGTGTTATCAGCACCATGCTCTAATCAAGTGAGTTAACTGGTCAGCCCTGCTTATAACTTTATATTCTGTTTTATAAACTTGTGTATCATGTTTTTTTCACCATTTCATGAAATGTTCTTCAAATCAAGATTTTTTAAAGTAGTTTTTTTAATTAAAAGGTGATACTTGGGGCCGGCCCGTGGCTCACTCGGAAGAGTGCGGTGCTGATAACACCAAGGCCCCGGGTTCGGATCCCATATAGGGATGGCCGGTTTGCTCACTGGCTGAGCGTGGTGCTGACAACACCAAGTCAAGGGTTAAGATCCCCTTACCGGTCATCTTTAAAAAAAAAAAAAAAAAAAAAAGGTGATACTTGGACTTTATAGACAATTTGAAAAATGTAGAAAAACAGAAAAAAGAAATTAAAATAGCCCATGATTTTGCCTCCCAGAGAAATATCTGGGTGAAATACCTTCCAGTATTTTTTTCTGTGCATATCCATCTTTTTTTTTCAAACTACTTTACCAAAATATATCAACCATTTTTTTTTTTTTTTTTTGTCTTTTGTCTTTTTCCGTGTCCGGCAACGGATCGCAACCCTCAGTGTTGCCCCCGTACCGGACCGGGGACCGGCAACGGGATTGCAACCCTCGGTGTTGCTCCCGCGCCTCGCTCAGCCAGTGAGCAGGAACCGGTCTGTATGTGGGATCCGAACCCTCGGGCGGGAGCGCCGCTGCGCTTCCCAAGCAGCGCACTTATCCAGTGCGCCACCGGGCCGGCCCCTATATCAACCATTTTTAAAAAGTACCCTTGAAGGCTGGCCCGTGGCTCACTCGGTAGAGTGCGGTGCTGATAACACCAAGGCCACGGGTTCGGATCCTATATAGGGATGGCCGGTTTGCTCACTAGCTGAGCGTGGTGCTGACAACACCAAGCCAAGGGTTGAGATCCCCTTACCGGTCATCTTTAAAAAAAAAAAAAAAAAAAAAAAAGTACCCTTGAGATCACATTCTTTGTGGTTTATATACTGCTTTTTAAAATTTAATATTTAATCTCTTTCATCAAATATTCCTAGAAAACATGGTTTGGGGACACATAAGTAATTTCCAGGCAGTGTTGTATACAGTGGTTAAGATCACAGCTTCCCGTGCCACACGGGGTTTGATTTCCAGTTTTACCACTGACAAGCTGTTGACTTTGGAGAGTTAATTCACTGCTGTCTCAGTTTTCTCATTTGTAAGATGGGAATATTGCAGTATTATCACCTCTCACAGAGTGACAGAGATGCAAAAGATTACTCAGAGCCCATGTATTCAGAGCAATGAGAAGCCCAAAGGGACTGCACCAAGAGAAAACTCCTTCCAGAGAGGAGAGCCCAGGCACAGCTCTGAGTCAGTTTTTGCTTCAGTTTTTTTATTGTAAAGACAAGAAAGTTACAGAAGAAAAACAGGTGGTTAATTAATCCTAGTGAAAACATAAACAAACTGGCTACATGACAATCTTCATTAAAGCAGGTGTTACTTAAAATAGTTCAAACAATTTACCATCAAAAGGAGTTGTAAAACTAAGCTATGTGAGGTACAAAAGGAAACAATGAGATAATCACCAAAGCACTTAATTCCCCAAGAAACTCAAAAAACAGCTTAAGTCAAGATGTGGATCATCCCCCAAGTACTAACTAGCAGAATATCCTCGAAGATTTTAGCTTACATACTTTCCCAGCATCTAGTTTAGCTGAACTAAGGGCAACTGCCCCCAGAGCAATCACTGTTTGCTGTGCTTCAATTCTCTTATCTACATCAAAGGCTTTAGTCCTGTGAACGTTTTCTGGTCTTTCTTAATCTTAGCAATTCTACTGTTTTCCTAAAGGGTTGGACTTTGGCCCCCTAAGCTAGAGGCTCTGGCCGCCTAAACTACAGGACTTTGGTTCTCTAAACTACAGGCTTTGGCCTTCTATGCTACAGGCTTTGGCCCTGTGAAATACATGTGTTTTATTTTTATGTCATTAATAACTTCTTAGTCAATATCGTCCACATGGTATATAGCTGAGAAGATTGTTGTGAGGAATAAATGAATCAATACATGAATAGTGCTTATCTCTGCCTGGTATATACTAAGTGTTCTATAATATTATTGTTATAAATAATACTGTTGTGGGGAGTCTTTTTTTGTCTTTTTCCGTGTCCGGCAACGGATCGCAACCCTCAGTGTTGCCCCCGTACCGGACCGGGGACCGGCAACGGGATTGCAACCCTCGGTGTTGCTCACGCGCCTCGCTCAGCCAGTGAGCGGGAACCAGTCTGTATGTGGGATCTGAACCCTCGGGCGGGAGCGCCGCGGCGCACTTATCCAGTGCGCCACCGGGCCGGCCCGGGAGTCTTTTATCATACCTCATTTTCAGAGTTTCTGCATATTTTCTTTGGATGGGAAATCCCTGTGTCTAAGGAGTTAAACTGTTTTAAGATTCTTCATGTGTTTTACCAAGTTGCTTTCTAGAATTGTTTTGTGAGTTTGTGCTCCTAAATGAGCATTTAAGAATGCCCGTGCATTGGTCTGTGATGGCCTTAGGATGAATTCAAAGAACAATCAAGTGAAATGACACCTTTCTGTATAATTTTTGATATACAGAAGACTTCTGTTTTTATTTTTATTTGTTAAATCTTTTTTATTTTTTCCTTTATGATTTTTCCCATATTTTTTTTGTGTGTTTAGGAAGCACACCACCATATGAGGACCTAATCTTTTGATTGAAGTAGAGGCCTCACCTCTTAGAAATACAAAGTCATAGTATCTCATGGCCTCTTTTATTTAAAACGTACTTTTAACCAGATTACTGGGATCTGAGTTCCTGCAAACTGCCTATTCCACAAGTCCAAGCTTTACCAGAATCTAGGCCTGAGGGCAGGAACTTGTCAGAGGTAGGGCCAAGTCACAAAACCATGTTCCATCCTAACTGACTAGGCTTTAGGGTTCAGCTTACTTTCCTTCATGAAACTTAGGCCATAGAATCAGGCTTTCAGCAGAGCTGGGATGTGCAGGGAGGGAGTCTCCATGGGTAAGGGTGGCAGTAGGTACAGCCTGGTCTCAAGAGACACAAATTGGAAGAAACCAATTAGGTCGTATTTA